AAAACTATATGCAATATATTTTTAAAATATATAAATGTAATGAAAAAATGAGTTAGAAAAATAAAACTTATATATAATGTTAAATGCCTTTATCTTTTTATTTTGAAACCCCTACTTCTTTGGTTCCCGCCATCTAAAATTGCGTTTTATTAGGGGTAGGTAGCGGATATACCGATCCGCCCAAACCGACCAAACCAAACTGATTCGCCGCATTTTGGACGGATGCATAATCATGAGTGAATGGTTGCAGATTGATTTTTTCCAATCCGCTTAGTTTTGGATGGATGTCGGATTTGAGGTTCCTTTGGCCGCAACCGAACTACCAAACCGCGAACACCCATAGTAATTTGTAAGACTTTGTGTTTTCAATTTGTTTAGATATTCTATTTATGTTTTCAATTGAAAATGAGTTTAAATATTCTGTTAAAAATGAGTTTTCAACTTCAATATATTTTTTGAATTGAAAAAAGTAAATGTATTATTTATCTATATTTTCTAATTTTTAAATCTTACTCTAAAAATAATAAATAAAAAAGATGATATCTGTTAGTTGGTTTTTTTTTTTTCAAAAACAGATATAGATGTAATAATATAAAGACATACAATTTATACTACTGCTCTATTCATGATTTGGTGGTTTGAATTGTTTTTATATTTTAAGAACCACAGATTGTAATACTTTATGTGAATGAGGCATGCTATAGTTGTAATATGTAAATGAGGCATGCAGTGATTGTAATATTTTAAAGTTTCAAACTTTCTTTCTTTGGATGAGGCATGTAGTGATTGTAATATATTTTTAAGTCATTGATTGTAATTTTTTTTTTTTTTTTGAGGAAGTGTACAAATTGAATAATGTTGAAAATTTATAAAATTTTAAACTGCTAAACCAATTCACATGCATCCGCCAATCTGCCAATCCGCTCAATCCACATCTGCTGGATTGGCAGACGGATACAGATTGATTTCTCCAATCCACTAATTTGATAGACGGATGACGGATTGAAAGTTCCATGGCCGCAACCGACCTACGCCCACCCGTACATTCTAGGAGCTTCTATTTGTACACACCTATTCTACTCTTTGCACATCCTTCTCAATACTCACACTGAAAAAATTATTCCCAATTTATTTGCTCACTGCACACATCTTTTATTCCACATCTACCCTCAAATGTAAATCACGCACACACACACACCCAGACCCCCAAACCCGTCTCTCACACACACACACCCAAACCCCCAAACCCGTGTCTCTCTCTCTCACACACACACACCCATCTTTCACACTCTACATGTCATCTCCAAAACCTGCATCCATCCATTAAAGACATCTCATTGAAGCATTGAAGACATCTCACGTGAATCATTGAAGGAATTCTTCACGTTTGGAGAACTTAGGTTAGTTTACTTATTTTAATCCTCATTCCTATTTCATTTGTAATGTAGGGTTTGTTTTTACCATTTTTGAACGCATAGCCCACCGAAATGAGCAATTTGTTCCTCATTCGGAACTAGTTTTTCAAAAATAAACAACTTGTTCGGAAGTTGAATTCTGAAAATTATCGTTTATTTCGATAGTATAATTTCAAAAAAATTTCATTTTTTCGACATTCAACTTCCGAATATGTTTAATTCGGACGACATTCAACTTCCGAAATGAATGTGGTTTTTCGGATTTCAACTTTCGAACAGAATAGAGTATTGTGGTTTTCAACTTCCGAACGTTTTTTTTTCCCCCTTTTTTTTCCCCCTTCTAAATTTTTCGGAACACACTTACTCATTTTTATGAAATCAATTATGTGAGTTATGAAAATTTAAGCATTTTTGTGTTGTTCTAAATTTTTGAGAACATACTTACGCAGTTTTGTAAAAGCTTATGCATTTTTGTATTGTTCTAAATTTTTGAAAATACACTTACATGTTTTTGTAAACTCACTTATATGAGTTGTGAAAACTTAGTATTCTTATGAAATCAAAGTTTTCTCTTGGGACTTTACTCGTATTGGTGTTTACTTACGCATTTTTGTAAAATCACTTGCGTGATTTTTGAAAATTTACTAATTTTTGTTATTCTAAATTTTTGGGAACACAATTACGCAGTTTTATAAAAATTTATGCATTTTTGTAAAATCACTTATATGAGTTATGAAACTTACACATTTTTGTAAAATTAATTACGTGATTTGTAAAGACTTACTCATTTTTATGTTGTTTCAAATTTTTAAAAACACATTTACGCATTTTTGTGTTTTAAATTTTTGGGAACATGCATTTTTGTGTTCTAAATTTTTGAAAACATGGTTACACATTTTTGTAAAAACTTACCCATTTTTGTGAAATCTAAATTTTCTTCAAGAACTTATTCCTATTTGTATTCACTTACACATTTTTGTGTTGTTTTAAATTTTTTGAAAACAAACTTACGTATTTCTATGAAAATACTTACACATATAATATAATCTATTATTTTAATAATGTTTATCTGTAAGTTGACCTGCTTAGCAGGTCAATAATGTATCACTTCTAACACAAATTTGTATAACTAGTAACACAAACTTGTATTATAGCGATCCCGGTATTCCCTGCTATTGTTTAACCGTAATCCGGACTCGGTTCCGTGGATTCGTTGTTGTTTTATTCTCATTTCTATCCCTTACTCTTTGTGTTAGAGTTTTGGGTTGTGTTGGGCAAGTTGGGAATAAGTTGGTTGTGCTTTAAAAATTAGAAATTTTGCCCAGGTTTTGGTTACTTCGCTCGAGCGGCGATTTGACGCTCAAGCGGGATTTTGTTGTTGCCTCTCCGCTCGAGCGGCAGTTTGGACGCTCGAGCGTGAATTTCCTTCTCTCAACATTTTGGACATCTGCAAAAAATTCTGGGAGAGTGCATCCGGTGCTCGAGCGGATCTTGGGACACTCGAGCGTGAACCTGTGTCTGACGCTCGAGCGGGGTGTTGTACGCTCGAGCGGACCTGTTTTATATCAGTTCGTGAAATCACCTTTTTGTTCACTTTTCAACATCCTTTCTCTCTCTTACTTTTCCAAAAAGCTATTTTGAGAGCTCCTCTCACTAAAACCCTAACTTCTCTCTTAGGATTGATCTAGTAGGAGTTATTTTCTCACCTTGGGCCTTTACAAAAGTTGTGTTGATCGTCGAGGGCTATCTTCTAATCTGAAAATTTCGGGATTTGGAGCATTTCCGTTTCTTCATCTCCTTCGTTGAGCCCCATCATTCGAGGTAGGGATAACCTACTCCATCTTATGAGCTTTGTCTTTAAATTTTAGCATTTTGATATGTTGGGGGTTGTTGGGTAATTTTGAGAAAGTTTGGGCCTTTGTGTAATTTTACAAAAGTTGGGGTTTTAAATATATAAACCTATATGCATGTTAGGCATAGAGAAATGAGATTAATGTTGGGACATTGATGGAAATGGAACCTTAGGGTTGTTTTGTGAATTATGGTAATTTGCCCTAATTGGTTTAATTAATTAATGCATATAATTAATTGAAGAAAACGAGGAATTGAATTGAAAATGTTGATATATTATCCATTTGTGCATTTATTTCCTGCTTAGAAATAATTGCTTTGGGCTACCGATGGAGGGTAGTGTTCATTGTTGTAGACAATGCATGATGACTAGGCAAACTAAAACTAATCAATTGGATGTGTCATAGAGTATGACAGTTGATAGAATACATTAACTTTATGTATTGAGTGATGCGTCTCGATGGAGGAGGAACCTGTATCAAAATCAGCAGAGAAAAGATCTATGGAAGGATTAGTAAACAGTGCAGTAGTGGAAAGTTCGGGTAAGTGAAAGGAGGATAGCGAGGAAAACATTTGGTGTTCCCAGAAAACGACATGGCGGGAGATACGAAGACGTTTAGAGAGAGGATCCCAACAGCGAAAGCCTTTATGTTCAATGCC